CATGCTTGTCCAGCTCGCTTGCACCTTTGCATTGAATTGCATTATAATTATAACCTTAAATTGCAAGCTTCACCCTTGTTGGTGTTCGACTGGTGGCAGCTGATAAAACCCGTTTGCTCTACTGACATCTAACCCCTGGTTAGCTCAGTTGGTAGAGCGCTCCACTTGTAATGGAGAGGTCCCGGGTTCGATACCCGGACCAGGCGGATTTTTTCGGTCGCTCACCAGTCACCTAGCTGTGTTTGGAGATTTATGTTTGTCCTTCGTCCCTCTCGTTCCCCTTTTCCAGGGATTACTTTCGTCATGCTTGTCCAGCTCGCTTGCACCTTTGCATTGAATTGCATTATAATTATAACCTTAAATTGCAAGCTTCACCCTTGTTGGTGTTCGACTGGTGGCAGCTGATAAAACCCGTTTGCTCTACTGACATCTAACCCCTGGTTAGCTCAGTTGGTAGAGCGCTCCACTTGTAATGGAGAGGTCCCGGGTTCGATACCCGGACCAGGCGGATTTTTTCGGTCGCTCACCAGTCACCTAGCTGTGTTTGGAGATTTATGTTTGTCCTTCGTCCCTCTCGTTCCCCTTTTCCAGGGATTACTTTCATCATGCTTGTCCAGCTCGCTTGCACCTTTGCATTGAATTGCATTATAATTACAGTCGAACCTCGATATAACAAACTTCAATGTAACGAAATCCTCGATTTAACAAAGTATTTTATTTTTCATAATTTCTTGCCCATAGACCCCATGTATTTTTAGTCTCTATATAACGAAGTCTATTTTGCTGCTATTTCAATATAACGAAGCGCCATTGCCATAGAAGGCAATAAATAAATAAACTCTAAAAAACATCTTCGCAAAAAAATTGTGGTTAAAAAAAAAATTATGCGCAAACGCGAGCGCTTGATAGGTTACTTCACGGGGACAGGCCTTCCAACGTTCCTAGGCTGCCCGAGGATGCGGCGCCGGTAGCGCCGGCGAGGCATGCGGCAAAGCGGATTCCGCGGGGCTGGCCAGAAAATGCCGAGCAAAAAGTTAACACGGCATAACAGCATCACCACTGACATTCACTGATCATCATAGTCCACTGTACCGCGGGTAGCGCGGGAGCCAACTTCAGCGGGGGAGCGACGTGATGGCGCGACCGCGCGGGCAGTGCCATCTAGAAGACCGATTATCGTCTTGCCATCTAGGAGAAGACCGATTATCGTCTTGCGCAAGCACACTGTGGGCGCAAGGGGCGCAAGAGGGCAAGTAAACTTGATAGCATCTTCGATCAACTCGCACCGGAATCGCCCTGAAACCAGCACAGTGCACAGCGCTCCTCGGTCGTGCAGCGCGATGTCGGTGCAACATCGAGGACAAACTGCGCCGCGCCGGTGCACCGCGGCGAGCTCTACCTTGCGTCACTTCGCGTTTTGTTCGTTTATTTTGCGTAGGTCAGCGCACGGTGCCCGTCTGCTGTCAATTTCTTCTATTTTTTTTACTCGCGGATTTGACGATCCCACAGAAATAAACATTGTGGACGTGATTGTCGATGGGGTCACGAAGCGGGTGACAATTCCACATGTATATGTTGGCCATCATTATTAGTTCAAGAAAACGAAACACCAGATAATAGCCGTACCTCGCTGTCATCAAAACGCCTCGCGCCGCTTTCCACGAAGTTCGTGCTTTTCGGGCGCTCCTTGCCACCGCAGCAATCGCCAGTAATCGCGGAGATGGTGAGAAGCTCGCCGTCTCGCCGTCAGAAGACCCGAGGAAATCATCTAGTGCTACTGCGAGGCGTGTTCGTTTTTGCAAGATCGCCATCTCGATAGTCTGCGCGTCTGCTACTCCCGCCATCTTCTCGATTCCCGCTCCTGGCCGCAATGCCTGATGGGACTGCCCCCCGGCGCACCGCCGATTTTCTTGGTGCGCGTTGGGGCAACGAAAAGCCGCACCGGGAGGGTGCGCTTCGTTGATCGAGGACGTACGGTGCGCACCGGTGCACTTGATCGAAGATGAAGGGGCGCACCTCAGTGCCCCGGTGCGCACCGGTGCGGATGATCGAGGATGCTATGAGTAAACTGTGCGGTCAAGAGTGCTGTGTAGGTTGGAAACATTGGCACCGCCTAAACTAAACAGCTTTATTTTTCAACCGGGCGGTTCACTCACGTGCTTGCTGCCATAAGGAAACGTAAAGTTCTTTCTTTGGATGAGAAAGCAAACGTTTTGGACGCCATCCTGAAGAAACTGCCGAGATCACGAGCACTCGGAAGTGCTCGACGCAATGGACGTACCGAGGAGGTACACGGCGTCGCATGGGCAGCAAGATGCCGTGCAAGCGCTCTGGGCGCTCGAACGCCGTATGACGCCGCCGACGCCGCTGCTACTGTCGGACAAGGCGCAAGCAAAACTCGCGGAGTACTTTGCCCCAAAATAAATGTCATTTTCGGTGAGTTTTCATACCCGTAAAATGTTTCGGAATTTTTTTTTTCGCATGCTAAAGCCAAATTTCGATTTAGCGAAATTTCAATGTAACGAAGTAAATTGCAAATTTTACCGACTTCGTTACATCGAGGTTTAACTGTATAACCTTAAATTGCAAGCTTCACCCTTGTTGGTGTTCGACTGGTGGCAGCTGATAAAACCCGTTTGCTCTACTGACATCTAACCCCTGGTTAGCTCAGTTGGTAGAGCGCTCCACTTGTAATGGAGAGGTCCCGGGTTCGATACCCGGACCAGGCGGATTTTTTCGGTCGCTCACCAGTCACCTAGCTGTGTTTGGAGATTTATGTTTGTCCTTCGTCCCTCTCGTTCCCCTTTTCCAGGGATTACTTTCGTCATGCTTGTCCAGCTCGCTTGCACCTTTGCATTGAATTGCATTATAATTATAACCTTAAATTGCAAGCTTCACCCTTGTTGGTGTTCGACTGGTGGCAGCTGATAAAACCCGTTTGCTCTACTGACATCTAACCCCTGGTTAGCTCAGTTGGTAGAGCGCTCCACTTGTAATGGAGAGGTCCCGGGTTCGATACCCGGACCAGGCGGATTTTTTCGGTCGCTCACCAGTCACCTAGCTGTGTTTGGAGATTTATGTTTGTTCTTCGTCCCTCTCGTTCCCCTTTTCCAGGGATTACTTTCGTCATGCTTGTCCAGCTCGCTTGCACCTTTGCATTGAATTGCATTATAATTATAACCTTAAATTGCAAGCTTCACCCTTGTTGGTGTTCGACTGGTGGCAGCTGATAAAACCCGTTTGCTCTACTGACATCTAACCCCTGGTTAGCTCAGTTGGTAGAGCGCTCCACTTGTAATGGAGAGGTCCCGGGTTCGATACCCGGACCAGGCGGATTTTTTCGGTCGCTCACCAGTCACCTAGCTGTGTTTGGAGATTTATGTTTGTCCTTCGTCCCTCTCGTTCCCCTTTTCCAGGGATTACTTTCGTCATGCTTGTCCAGCTCGCTTGCACCTTTGCATTGAATTGCATTATAATTATAACCTTAAATTGCAAGCTTCACCCTTGTTGGTGTTCGACTGGTGGCAGCTGATAAAACCCGTTTGCTCTACTGACATCTAACCCCTGGTTAGCTCAGTTGGTAGAGCGCTCCACTTGTAATGGAGAGGTCCCGGGTTCGATACCCGGACCAGGCGGATTTTTTCGGTCGCTCACCAGTCACCTAGCTGTGTTTGGAGATTTATGTTTGTCCTTCGTCCCTCTCGTTCCCCTTTTCCAGGGATTACTTTCGTCGAGCCAAAGACTTTTAACAAGTTTCTGTGTTTTGAAATATTCAGTTTTTGTCATGAAGAATTCAGCTTTTTTAGATTTATGACTAGCTTAACTTGTTCCTCAGGAAATCTCAGTCAAGAACACCACTGAATGAAATCTTTCCTTGACAGATAAACTGGCAAGAACTAAGAGGCAAATCATACTAAAGGAAGAGCAGCAAAGCAGGAATAGGATGTGAAGTGGAAGATATTGTGAAAGGGTGTTACTGAAGACGGCACAATATTGCGTCACTGGGCAGGACCAATTGTAAACCCTCCTTCGGGTCTGAACCAATAAGATTGCTCATACCAAATTTTCAGGATTTTTTCTGTTTGGATGTACAGTTGAACCTCAATTTAACGAAACCCGATTGTACGAGTTTCCCGATTTAAGGGGTATCCACACGAAGGAGAAATCCGCTCCTTTGCTCCGCGGAGCGCGCATCACGTGAGACATACGTCAACCCTTTTTGACGCCTTGCGGCGCCGTTCTCCCGTTCTCCTCCGCGGCGGAGGCGCGGAGGCTTCGTGCTGTAAGCACGAAAGCTCCGCCGGTGCACGCGGCGGAGCCGGGGACGGAGTTTCCCGGGTTGCTGACGTCACGACATCCGTCCGCGGAGTTCTCCTTCGTGTGGATACCCCTTTAACGAACAAATTCGGATTCCCCGCGCAGCCTATCCCGAAGAATGTCTTTCTCGACTTTACGAAGTTCTTGATTTAACGAAATAATTAGGGGGTCCCGGTGACTTCGCAAAATCGAGGTTCAACTGTATAAAGTTCTCCAGGCCATTGATACTTTTCAACTTGGAATGCTCCTATGGGCTAAATCTAAAGTAAATGGTGCTTCCAATGAGGGTGAGATGTTCTGGCTATGTCAAATGAGTATCAATCAATCAATCAATGTTTATTTTTCCCTTGTGCTAACCAACAGCTCGAATGCCTATTGGGTTAAGCCCAGTATGTTTTCGAGCCAGTATGAAGCAGCGCTAAATAAAAAAACTAAAAAAACTTGGTCCCTCCTGACTTGGAAGGCTACCAAAATGTCGAAAATAATTTCTTGTGAGATAAATCCTGCATGTTTATAAAGGAAAGTTTCTGAAACCATTCTTTGGAACTTAAAAAACATAAACGTTTCATTTAAAAAAAAAAAAAGAAATGTTTTTTTCTGGAAAATATTAATTTTGAGGCCACATGCCCCCCTTGAAAAGAATGCAGCCTTCTCATCCGTCGACGTATTTGCGCTTTGCCCAGGTGCTCCGAAGATGCAGCCCAAACTGCTGGAAGTGAACTGGGCGCCAGACTGCCAGCGGGCCTGCCAGTTCTACCCAAACTTCTTCGACGAACTCTTTGCCGCCATGTTCCTGGACCAGGCGGAGCAGAGCCCCAGCTTCATCCCCCTATAGCGCCTTCAACGCACAAACCTCATCCGGGTCGTTTTTCTGGGCCGTCCGAGCAGACTGCCGGCTCGTCGGTCATGCGCGCGCGCACTCTTTTACTTTTTGTTGAGCGGGGAGACGTTCGGGTTGTTAACCGGACACTGCCGTGGTGCAGGTTGGCAGCACGTGCGTCGGGAAAAGGGAGTGTGTGGCGAGTGTACTTACGACGCGGTGCTTTGGGCGCGTCTCCGATGGGCTCGAATTCCGCGTCCTTAAAAGCGGTCCCTCGTTTTCCGCCCAGCGACGCGAGTCGTTGCCACCTCGAGACAACCTTCGACGTGGGAAGGCAAATGCGCCGGTCGAAGATGCCTTCCGAGCATCTTAGTTAAGGTGCCACATGGCAACGGAAGGAGCTTCTCTTGTGTGTCGGGTGCACTCTTGGTGACAGAACGGCGTTCCCGGCACGTGTTTGTTTTAAGTGTGGCGAAGAAATGGCTTCGCTACATTTGGCACTGGTGTAACCGGATCTCTTACACTTCCTTTTCATCATCGAGCACAATCTTTTTTTTTTTTCGTTTATTTTAAAATGTTGAAGGACTGCCCAGCTCGAATTTCAGCAGAGATTGGGTGCGACAAAGGCGCACCCAATGTGCGTAGTTACAACTGTGCGTAGTTAAAATGCTTCTCGGGCTTGGGTGTTTGCAACAAGCGGCAGAATCTAAAACTGCGGCATTTGAGCAGTTCCCCGTGAGCCAGAAGTTCATTATCTGGGGAGGTTTCCTCACCACGAAATGAACCTCTCTAGGTGCCACGCATTATCTTGGGACCTGGCAAGTTCTCAAAAGGAGAAACTACTTTTAAACGACTAATGCGAAGCTTAAACAAACTTCTCAAATAAAACGATAGCCCCTCGAGAAAATAAATAAGCAGTGCACGATTGTGGATGGGGGGGCATTGTATGCTTGAGGATTGTATGCTACGCTTGAAAGGTGTTTACAGTCGCCGACCGATTATTCGGACTTCGCGGGGACCGAAAAAACATCCAAATAATAGAGCAGTCCGAAAAATCAGCAGATTGAAAAACTTGCCTTTATTACTTCCAAGTGGGCTTCAAAAAGCTGTAAACAGTGCCTTGTTTCAGGTGACGCATCCGTTTCCATTCGGCAACTTTCTGTTAGCTTGAGAAACGCTGCCTTCTTTACTAGCGTTACGGTCGAGTATTTTCTGCGCTTCTTAACGACACATCGCGGCGGCAGAACAGCAGATGGGGCCGTGACGTCCAAGTAAGCATTGTCCAAACGAGATGAGAGGTGCAAATCCATGAGCGCAAAAAAGCGACTGGCAGTGCTGGAGACGCGAAAGTAGGGCTGAAGCGTGAAGGGATGGAAGAATGGGAGGAAACAAAGCAAAATGATGATGATGATGATGAGCAGCTAAATGGGAAAAAAAAAAAGGGTTAGCATAGCGTCACCTAGCGGTAGGACTCGGGAGTACTCAAGTAGCGCTGCCAAACCAAACCAATCCATTTGCAGCCAACATAGAATTCAAAATGGCCGCTTCTCGGCAGTGTTTCCTGCTGACAGCTCGCGACGATTTTGTCCGAATAATCGAACTTTCGGACTTCAAACTGTCCAAAATACTGGTCGTGAATATGCACTATTTCTATGTGCTAAGTCGCGGTTCCTCCTTTAGGTCCGAAATATCGAACAAGTCCGAATTATCGGAGTCCGAAAAACGGTTGGCGACTGTACCTCTGTTTTACTTTTTCATTATAGAGGTGTGTTTCAAGGACCATAAAAAAAAAAAAGGAAAAAAAAAAAAATGGGCATAAAGAAGATGTGCCATGGGCGTTTTTTTTTTCATTTGCAGACTTTAATGGAGTAAACGTGAGATTATTTCAACCAATAAGGGCTGCCCTGGGAGAGTAGTGTGTGCTTCGCATAATCCCTGAAATTTGGAAAAGTTTTATAGTGGCTGCACAGACATAGCTGCTTCGTTTCTATTTTATGGCATGCACAAATATGTAGTCCGAATATGCGAGGTATTTCTTACTGTCTTAAAGTTTTTGTACCTCTTCTAGGACAATCCTGAATACTTATTTTTTTAACACCTCTGAATTACCACTGGTTGAAAGACCAGGTTTTCTCGATTTGGAGCATACTGTTTTTTTTTTATTTTAGTAGTATTACCCAGTGATAGGGCGTGTGGTATTAACTATGCCAAACTGAGTAGCAAATTTTTCTTGGAACTTTCTACCACCAAAGTACAAATCACCCACAACTAGGTCTTGCAGTGCCTAGAACAGCTCAGTTTGTGAACAGATCTTTTTATGGGAAAAACAGCCATTTTCAACGGAAGAATGGACATCTTTGTCTGGCAACCCTTTTCAGTGCAGTTTTCGGTCGGTGATTCGTCAATCTTAAGTATATAATAGAAGGTGCTTTACACGCAACGTTTTCTACTCCTAAAATTGAGAGCGAAAGTGAGATTAGCTAAGCAACCTTGCTCATTAATAACCGAGGTAATCCAAGGACATTGAACAAGGTTCTCAAACTGAATTCATAGGGACCCAGGTATTCCCCAGGGTGGGTTCCCCATTCTCCTTTTTTCCGGTTTAAAGGGGTACTTCGACGATTTCTTCGTGGTTCTTGATTTGCCTGAAAATTTGCGAAACGCGCCAGTGAACACCGTTGAAATAGTATCCCAAATATAATCAAAATATTTGTTTTTTTCAAGAATTATTGAATTCACAATTTTGGTCCTCACCATGTTCTTCAAACTGAGAATCTCCTGGCAGCAAGGAAAAAGTGATGCGAGTGGAAGGCATGGGTTCACTTTTTGGATTGTACATTTTGTTCCCAACTGATTACAAGCAGTTTTCTTGGTTGGCATAGTTTATTTTTTGGACTGCTCACTTGTCTGGCAAGTCTGCCTTCCATCCACGTCGCAGCACTGAAACGTGCGGGTATATTTGAGCGTTGGTTTTTGCTACATTTTCATTTGCCGAATTCACAATAACTACGATAAATTTTGCGATACTAAATAGCGTACCGAAAAGGGAAAACGACGGGGATTCAGAAAATAGAGGTAGTTGGGGTAGCTCAAAAATTGCCGGAGTACCCCTTTAAGCACTATTTCAGCATAACCAAACGACGTACAAGTCGGACACTTCCTGCCATGTGCATCGTTGTTTACGAGGTCTAGGCATCTCTTCCGCTTCATTGTACCTGTGCCGTGACCGGTCAAGAGAGTTGTGAACTCCTCGAGATATGAAAGCAATCCAAAATTGGCAGCGACTTTTACGTCCAAAGTCTCATAATTCATGAAATGCGGTATTTAAGATGGGATAGTTTAAAAATTCTTTGGAGGACATAAAACAGTCGTTTCGGGGAGTGAGCAAAAGCTTCATTTTTATTCATTTTCTAGCAACATTGAGCGGGGTACCTGAGTCCATAGGTGACGTGACATCAATTTCGAGAAACAATAAGGGCATGGGGCTAGCTAAATTCGTGTGTAGTTCACGTGATGTCAATTTTCCTGCTAGATCTAGTGGGATATTAAATCGACGTGTACTATGTCGGATCACGTGAAATAAATTTCCTCGCTAGATATTTAGCGGGGAAACTGAATTGGTGTATAGGTGTTGTGTGACATCATTCTCCCCGCCGAATTTGGCAGGGAAACTTGATTAAAGGTTACCTGACATTAGATGCCATCACGTGACCTCAACACCTATTCAGTTTCCCCGCTTAATTTGGCGGGAACTGGACAGACAGTAGGGCATAATTTTTGGATTGGGGGATAGCGTTAAAAAGGTTAAACGCACCCTGGCCGTAGAATTCTTTTTTTTTTTTTTTTTTTGAAACTGGAGTTTGTTGTTGTTATACACTGTCACTCATTTATCCGACAGAGTTTGCGCGCACTCAATGTTGTCATTGAACATGGACGAGCGCCCGGTTCCTTATTTGTGCCTGACACTTGTGCGTCCTTTCTCGAGCTTTTGTACCCATTCAAACACACTTTTTTTACGACAAAACTCTTTCTCCGCACTGTGCACAAAGTCTTCCATCAATTTTTACATCCATCACACCCTCAAACTACAAAAAACAAGTTGCTGCGCTTTGCTTTCCTTTCGTGCAAATCATAAGTCGGACAGCCATATTTCTTGCACCCCAGTCACAACTGAGCTGACGTTACATGTTGGACCTTGCGCAGCAGTGACTGGAGAGATGGAAACCTTGTGCAAAAAACACCGATAAGACAGTGCGGCCACCGGAAGTTTTAGGAAAACTGGAGTGTCGATAAGTTTTAGAGCGCAGCTCTTAGGGGCCCGTTTCCGGCTTGAGCGGCGTCGGTGTTGGCGTCGCCGTCCGCGTAACCCCGAAGTCACGTGACCCACCCACGTCACGTGACGCCCCAGGTCACGTGACCCCCTTAGGTCACGTGACCCCTCAGGCCACGTGACCCCCTGAGGTCACGTGACCCCCTGAAGTCACGTGACCCCCTTGAGGTCACATGACCCCCTAAGGTCACGTGACCCCCTAAGGTCACATGACCCGCCTCAGATCACGTTACCCCTTGAGGCCACGTGACTCCCTGAGGCCACGTGACCCCACTGAGGCCATGTAATTCCCCTGAAGTCACGCGACCCCCGAGGTCACATGACCCCCCTGACATCACGCGAGCCCCCTTAGGTCACGTGACCTCAAGGAGTCACCTATCCCTCAGTACGCTTCCATCTTCCTCCTCAAGAGCTGCGCTCTAACCGGCGTTACAGGGATTTGTAAACGGCTTTCATTATTTTTAATCACCATTGTAGAAAAGGTTGAGAAGCATTGGTGTAATTAATTCCTCATTCTAATCTTGGTGAACGACATAATACATTATCTTAACTGTAATGCATTCTTTTTGAACAAATGCAACTTGTAAAAAAAATTTTGTTCCACAAGTAGAAAGAAAGGAATGATGGGAATGTGTTCATGGTTTTCAAGAGTGCAACAAAGGAGCATGGCTGTCCATATCATGTGCTTGACATGGGCATTCAGAGCGGCATGGCCCAAAGCCCTTTTATCGCCCTTTTGGTGCTAATGTACGAAAGAGTGAAGCCAGCACTTCATTTTTTCAGTTCATAGAAAATAGTCTATGAACAGATAGAATTTTGCCGTGAAATTCAACTGAGGCGTTGCCTCGTCACGAAGTGTTGCATCGTAAGCATTGTGTTTTGTTTATTTTAAATGTATATTTTGCTACAAAGAAATCTCTACCTCTGCGACTACTGTACAACATGGACACTTTTTATGACTGGAGTACTTATGCGTGCAATGTTTAGTGAAGTGTGATGCCTACGTCATATGACTCCAATTCTTTGAGATGTCGACTGACTTGGTGCAGATATCGATATTTACCTTAGACGTTTGCTCAAATTGTGTGATCTACAATATGTGCCAAACGCTCGGGGCTTTGAGATGGCGTTCTTGTCGGGGTAATGCACTGGTTTTCTTCGCAATGTTTGTTGTCGCGTTTGTTTTGTTTTTATGCATTTTACCAGATCTCGACATTTTTGTTAGCTTTCGTTTCATAATTTCAGTGCTTGCAAAGGTGCATTGTCAGTGTTTGGATGGCAAGAATGAGCAATAAATGTTGCGACTCTCCACACTAGTGCTCGGTGGTCAATTCTTCCTGGTTTTCAGCCCAATGTGAAGCTGAGTTAGC